CCTCGAGCCGCTTGATTTCGCTGTGGATAAAGTCTTCATCGAAGGTTTTAATAGTCGTGACGATAGGTTGATCATGATAGCCATAAGAAAGGCCGTAGACCCCGTAGGATGCGGTATCGAGAAGCTGAAAACCTAGACTGGAAGAAAGAGGGATAAGTAGAGCGTGCCATGGTTCCCGAGGGCAGCAAGACTGAGGATTACCGTGAGCTTCATGGTTCAGGAGGTTCCGGTTGCAGAGTTGATGCCTACGATTACGGGAATGGAATGCATGAGGCGAAAGATTACGCTTATATAAAGGTTCAACTTGGTTTCAAAGTTTGTAATCATCAAGCTTTGCTTTTGAAGTTCATCCACGAAACTAAAATAGTACCTGAAATGCTGGACTTGTCACGTGACCGCCTCAAGGAAAAACCATACCTACGTCATGGATCTAAAGGTTTTAACTTCTGCCATCTGCGATCTCCCACACTCGATGTCTGTAGGCGTGACAAGCGCCTTAGCGCTCCGAGGCACCGCCTCAGGGCCCAAAGGGGAGGCTGTGGCCCCTCTTTTTCCGACCGAATTACGGCTTCCTCGCCACGACAACGGCTAGGTTTGGATCCGCCACAAAATCTTTCCAAAACTCCAGATCCCCTCTCACCACATCCGTTTCCTCAGGCTTCAGTGTCTCGAAGTCCACCAATCCCAGTCGTTTTGGAGTCTCATCCGTAAGCAAGCGCGACTCTGTCATCGATGTGCAAGCAAAAGAAAACGGCGGCTGCGTCAAGCAGTTACAGCTATACGCCAAACCTCCAGGAATCTCTTCAACTTCACTGAAAGAGGCCCCATACTTTCCGTACGTCATATACTCCGCGTGAATGCTTCGCACCCTCACGCCCAAGAACTTGCCCCCTGACTTCAGATACGCCACCACATTCCCCCACATGGCCTTCAAGTCCTCCACCGACGTTGCGTGGTCGAACAACCAGTTCGCCATGACAATATCGTATCCTTCGGCTTTGAGCGCCTTGCCGGCGTCTTGGTCTCCCAACGGGCTTGCCAAGTCCGCCGCAATCCATCTGATTCTGTCACCCCTCCCCAGCGAAACCTCAATGTCTTGCCCGACTTTCATCATTTCGACCGAGATATCGACGACATCGACGGCACTGGCACCGGCATCGATGGCGCGACGGGCGTGGAGGCCGCTTCCGCCGCCGAGGTCGAGAACGGAAAGGCCAATGCAGTTACCGAGGGCTGTGTGAATGAGTTCGGCTTCGATTTTGGAGCAAGGGAGCTCTTCCACCGTCGAATAGGCGGTAGCGACGTTGTCGTATTGTTTACGAGACTCCTCGGGGGCGGCCATGATGTGCGATCGAGTTACTAACCCTCCAGCAAAGTCAACCGTCCGTGGATCCGGATATGACTGGAAGATAGGAGGCGATAGGGAGCCAAGGTTTAAAGAGGAACCAGCTCGGGGAGATCGGAAGCTTCTTATGTCCCGTCCCAGCTGGGGGTGGGGTTCCTACCCCTCTCTCTCTGTATCGGTTCTTATTGAACGTCCAGCGAGCTAGGTAACGCGGAGGTTGCAGCTGCCAAATCTAGGCCATAAGCGCACTGGCTCCCACTGGGCGACGTGCGCTGGTCACTGATGTCCTTTTGCTGGCCAATCCTGACAATACCCCCACACTTGGTTGCATCAAGGCTTGAGGGGTTTGTCGATTGCGGAAAGGGTTTGTCATTAACAGGGGAAGCTGTGGGGCCTGGCCGGGGTCCGTGTGTGCTTGGTGATAGGCCGGCCCGGAGTGGGGTTCCGAGGTGGCGGCGGAACCACCCCGTCGTGCGAAGATTATCTCGATGGGCGTCTTTGATGGCCCATTGATAGATAGGATGGCTCCATCACCGCCTGGAAACTGTATCTCAACGAGGGACGGCGGCGCATTTATGAGGAGCAATGAGGGGCTGCCGGTGTCACAATGCCGGAAAGTGGGTCCTGCCGGTCCGGATCCGGGTTCTCCGCCGGAACTCCCTTGAGCACGCCCAGCAGGGCTAACACAGTGGCAACTGGTATCTTGGTGAAGAAGATTATTTCTATACTACAGCAGCGCGGAAAGAAGTGACGGACTGAGAATAGCAACAGTAGCATGTACGGTTTAGTGCATGTATCGAGGTAAATCTGAAGGATCTAAGACACAGGGGTCGTTCGCGGCTGAGAACCCCTTCATTCCCGTCGAATCCGTGCAGAATCAAAAACGGCCTACTTCGGGGCCTGGAAGCAGAAATAGTTCACATCATCCGTTGTTCCACAGGCACCGCTACAGCAATCCTCGGAACGCTCGCATGCCCCGCCGTCTTTCACACAGGCCTTGCCAGTGCACACAGTCGTCGTCTTGACCACTTCGACAGTTGTGGCCTAGTTCGCAGCATCAGCTCTGTCTTCAGACTCCGGGCATGCAACTTCAAACTCACATCGGCGACATCGGCAGTCTTGGTGACGGTCTCGGTTGTCTTCCACGGAAACACCTTCTCGCCCAGCTCAGAGCACGCTGAGGAGATGAGCCCGGTGGGGAATGGAAGCAGACCAGTCGGAAACAAGCCACCCCCAACACCAAATCCCAATGGGATGTTCCCACGGGGCACCAAAGGGGCCGTAGTGATGCAACCGGGGTCGTAGACCGTCTCGGTAGCGACAACGACGTAAACGGTGCTGCCAGCCTGCGTCAACTCTATAGCCTCTGAGGAACCTGACCTATCTATCATGGGTAGTCGTACTTAGTCGGGGTCTTGGTCTCCGTCTCCGTCACAGTGCGCGGGAGGCCTAGAAGCGACACGCAGAAGGGCGTGGCGGTGGCTCCGAGACGGTTCAAAGCCCTGAAAACACCATCGCCAATAGAATGAGTGGGCTGAAATGCGGCAGCTGCTGCAAGAGCGGGGGCAAAGAGTGAAAGGGTGAGAGCAGGGCGCATGGTGAGGTCAGCGATGTTCTTTTCAAAGGTTTAAGTGATGAGGAAAGGAGTGGAGGAAGGACAGCAGCTGTGATTCCTGCCCTATATACGACAAACCCCTGATAAAGTCCTGTAATCGAGCGCCAGGTCATGTCGTAATAGGCGTCCGGATATGCACTGGTGGCGCGACGGTTTTTTGTGTGGCTGCTCACCCCCCCACGGGGTTCCGGTTCCACGATGCTGGTTCTATACACCCTATCCACAGGGCCAGTCAGCCGGGAGAGTCATGAGGTCATGTCCTCCTCTTGAAGTCTCTGGCTCGCCTCCCCCTCACGATAAGGAGGGAGGCGAAGGGTGAAATCCACGTTTGGTAGCTCCTTTGCGGTAATGGGACATCTCTTGACACCGAGAGCGCCAGCTGCTCCGGGTATTTCACTTCCCTCACTCGTCGTGGGAATGTCAGCCCGCCCGAAAGTTTGGCCGTCTCAAGATGCTGTTTTCATCGTTCCCAGAGAGACCATTGAGGCCACCCAGCTTCATGTGAGCGATAGAATATAAAGGCAGTCGATCGTTTGGAAACATGGGGAACATGAAGGCTGAAGAGAGGAGCATCTATCTCTGTGTGTCCGTTATCCGTCTGCGTTGAGAGGATGCAGCCAATTTTAGTTGTTTGTCTAGCAATTTCAGCTATGAGGAGTCTTGATGGTCGCTGCGCAACACTGTGTTTCCCTCAGGTGCCTAAGTAAATTGATATTGATATTCGGACTTCATCACAATGGCCTCGCTGTCTACAAGCGCGGGACGAAACGCCAAGTATCAAGCCAAGGGCGCCTGCAACTACCGAGTCTAACCGCTCTTAGACCGTTATCACTCAGAAGCCTGATTAGGAATGCAAGAACGACCTGCACCATGCGCTCCTGCGAGCCAATGCATGTCCCAAAACAGGCCGATCTGGCGCTTTTGCTCTGTAAAGCAGATGAAATCAGCATGGGCAGATGCATCTCACTGGTCCATTTACCAGTGCTTCTGAAAGTCGCATCGCGGCAATATGATCAACAGTCCGGTCGGGAAGCACGGTGAAAGCGAGTCTCGGCACCAAGATCGAGTATAAGTAAACACCTATCCTTCGCGTTCACACACATGGCTGTCTGTCTTTCATCCTTACCTTTACGACTTCATACCTTCCCTCTTCTTTCACCACTGTGCTTCCCCCCTGAGCCTCCAAAATGCACCTCAACGACACAGCTCTCAGCTTCAAGGCCCTCCACAAGCCGGGGAACCCTCTCATTCTCGCCAACGTCTACGACACAAGTTCGGCCCTAGCCCTTTCAGCCCATCCTCAATGCCGCGCTCTCGCCACGACCTCTTACGCCATTGCCGCAGCCAATGGTCTTCGAGACCAGGATCTCACTCTTGACAATCACGTCCCCCTCCTCGCTCCCATCGCTGCTGTTGCCCAGAAGATAGGAAAACCCCTGACCATCGATCTCCAAGACGGATACGGAGATCGTTTGGAGGAGGCCATCCGCGCCGTGATTGCCTTGGGCGCGGTGGGTGTCAACTTGGAGGATTCGGACCACGTCACCGGGGAAATGATGGGTCTTGACACCGCTGTGGAGAGGGTGAAGCGAGCAGCTCAAGCAGCCAAAGCCGAAGGGGTTCCCGACTTTGTGGTGAACGCGCGGTCGGATGCGTTCATGATGGGAGGGACGTTGGATGAAGCCATCGAGAGGGAAAAGAGTATCTGAAGGCCGGGGCTACGACGGTGTATGTCTTCCCCGGACCGGCGAAGAACATTGATGACAAGGGGGTGGAGAAGGCAGTGAAAGAGCTAGATGGGATGGTGAACTTTGCGGTCAGGGTCATTGGTGTCGGGCCTGAGGATCTGACTAGCAAGGATCTGGCAAGGCTCGGTTTCGCAAGAATCAGCGTCGGACCTCAGTTGTATCTGGCAGCGGTGCAGGCCTTGAAGGCGACGACGGACGTGGTCTTTCGGGACGTGTAGAGCTAAAAGATGGGGACTCCACTCAGGGGTGGAAACAAAAATGTAGGCGGTTTCCCATCTCAATGCAAGAGAACCGATCGTGGCAGGGATCGAACCTGTGATCCTCTGCGATAGGGCTCTAAGCACGAACTTTGTAAAGCAGATGTCATAACCACTAGACCACATGACCTTGTGTTGTTGATTTTCAGTGTTTTACTCTGCTCTTTTGCGTGCAGGTTGGCTGCCATGCACTCTCAAACTCCTATGGCCCACCTACCTTTTTCAGCTGCGCCTATCCAAGATAGCAGGTATAGCCGATGCATGGCATGACACTCCCCCGGTTATCTTTCAGAGCACAAAGAAACAGGATATATATGTTAAATAGGCACCTAAGCAAAAGGGGCTCAGCCAGGGCTCGAACCTGGGACCACTTGCAAGTAACGAATACCCAAAGCAAGTATGCTACCACTACACCACAGAGCCAATTGATGATGTGGGAGCTTTGAGTTGGACACTGTGAGTCCTTGGCAATGCGTGGAGCCTTTAGGGGCTGCCGGAGCTTTGAGTCATACGGTGAGCAAGCGCATATCGATCTGCGGGGTGGCTGAGCAAGGGTCAGGGGAGTCTCGACGCACAAACGGACGCTCTGGCCGGCATAGTAGCGGCTGTCCCGATCCCTGCCGCAGCTGGCTTGCCGAATGGCCATGATGCCAAGCGCCTGAACTATCGTGAGACCTTGGTGGCTGTCCATCCCCCCAAACAGACGCCGGGCCTCTGTGAAGAAGGCCTCGCCTGCAGTGTGAGGGTCAGAACCTGTGCGAACCTCTGGCTGGTCCGAAAAGCGACTTCCTAGGGCCAACAGCGCGTTGGCCAACAAGGGCGAGCAGAATCGCGGCCGGCCCGCGGCAAAGTACACCATGAAATGCTCCCTGCTCAATGACGCCAGTGTTGGGTATACCCAGCAGAAGTACAGGTCGAGGAGATGCTGGACAAGTCGCTTGTCCGATATTACATGAGTCCACGTGCCAACAAAGAGGTTCATATTCTGGTCCATTGCAGTAGCACCGGTGGCATTCTCATATAAGTGAAAGCTAAAAGTACGGCTGGTGCCAGAAGCAGATCTTTCGTCCTCGGCAGCAGCTGCATTGCATCTGGTGCGATCACTTCATAATCCAATACTGGTTTTATTGCTAGCGTGATGCTTCTAGGGTCCGCTGTGGTATTTACCTCTAATAAGCCCTGCGAGCTTTTCCCAAGGGGTTATGGCGGGGAGTTTAATGCTCTAGATGTAAGACCCAAAGCCATCATAGGCGTTTTGTATGGCTAGTCTTATTTGCGAGAAGGCCTTGTGTGATCTCCACTTACCTAGGTATGGAGCTAACAATAAAATCAGTGATGGACTTTAAATCAGGGGTTAAGATCGGGCTGTCGCGCAATTATGACCTCATACCAAGCACCCGCCTATCATGATCAAGATGTTCGCTCTCCGCCTAGCCATTGGGTCAGTTAAATTTAGTGTTCAGCCATTGGGACTTTCCCAACAGGTCGGCACGAGTCGTTTCAAGGCACCATCCAAAATCACATTTTCATTTCGGACTACAAACAAGTTAAAATGCAGCTGCATCGGTGAGTGATCTCCTCAGACCACTACGCAGTGCACACGGGAATGGCAGTGCCAGCCTTGAGTTCCTCCAGCATGTCATCGCTGGCCTTTTGCGAGATCATGAAGGTCGACACGGCCGGGAACACACCTGGAATGCGAGCAAACGCACTGGCGTCAATGACGCGCAACCCGCTGACGCCCCTGACTCGGAACTTCCCGTCCAAAACAGCCAAGGGATCATTCGCCGCACCAATCCTGCACGTGCTGGTAGGATGATGGCCGAATGTCTGCTTGTGAATCCAGTCCTCGTCCTCCTTGCCGCAGTAGCCATCGGCGTCGGCGCCCTTGGTGCACGGGGGCTCAACGGCGGTGATGCCCACGGCCTTGTACACCCTGCGAATCCACGCAACTGTGTCCTTCATGGCCTCCATATCCATCTCGGAGCCAGGCGCATAGTGGTTGAAGTTGATCTCAGGTGTATCCGTCGGATCGGCACTCTTCAACTTGACCCACCCCTTATTGTTGACACTGCTACCTTTGACCATGCTCACACCGTACGGGCTTCTCACCTCAGCAGGCACGCGTACCGGGTTATCGGGCCAGAAGCCACGGAACAAGAATCCCTGGCCGCCCATGAGAAACATGTCGCGCTCACCGTGAGCAGGGTGCTTGGTCTTGTACATGGCCACGCCCGCCATGCCGCTGCCGGCCGACCCGGTGCCGATGATGGGCATCTCCTGGTTGTCCATAAGATTCTGTCCCACGCCAGGGAGGTCCTTGATGACAGGGATACCCAGCTTGGTCAGATCGGTGGCGTTGCCGATGCCCGAAAGCTGCAGGATCTGTGGGGAATTGAAGGCGCCGCCAGAGACGATAACCTCTCGGCGGGCGAGAACGGTGCGCTTCTCGCCGCGGGCGTTGGCGGTGCGGCGGTTGTCGCCGGCGTAGATGGACTTGCCGAAGAGGTACTCGACGCCCGTAGCACGAGGCTGGGCGCCGCACTTGGTGCCCGAGGTGTCGAAGAGGATCTTGGTGGCGAGGGAGGTCAAGCTGACGGTGATGTTGGCCCGCGAGGACACGGCGGCGTTGATGTAGTCGCGGCTGGAGTAGCGGTTGCCGTTGGCATACTGATGGTTGACGAGACCGTAGATGGAAGACGTCTGATCGCGGTTGGGGGTGATTTCGTTGGGGTCGCGGGTCAGGAGGGAGGTCATCGGCGTGGAAGAGAGACCAAAGTCCTTTTGGTACTGGCCCATGACGGTGTTACCGGACAGGCCACCGCCGCGGGCCTGGGCCATGGCGCCCATGGTGGTCTGGAACCAACCGTCGAAGCCGTGGTTGGCAGCATTGGCAGCACCGCGGGTGGCGTAGTTGTTCTTTTCGATCTTGGTGAAGATCTTCCACATGTTTTCGGCCTTCCACGAGTCGTCGCCCGTGACGTTGGCGTGGAAGTCCCAGTCGCTGTTGGGCGGCAGCCAGCACACCATAGCGTTGATCATGGAGGAGCCGCCGAGGGTGGCACCACGAGGATAGTACACGCCTAGACGCGTCGACCCGGCCGGGGCACCGCTTTGGCCGACCCAGTAGCGACCCTCAGGGGTTCTCCACGTCGTGTGTGAGTAGGTGTTGTCCCATTCGCTGCCCTCGGGGTAGTGCTTGACGTAGAAGTCCCAGGTGACGGTAGGCGTGTAAGCCCCGAAGCCGCGCCCAGGGCTTTCGTCACCGGCTTCGATGAGGAACACCGAATATCCGGCCTTGGCCAGGTTGGAGGCAACGACGCCGCCGCCAGGCCCGCTGCCTACGACTACATAGTCATAAACAGCCTGGCCGCTGACAAAGGGCGCGAGCCCCAGCAACGGGAGGGCACCGCTTCTGAGCTTCATGTCGACAAAGATGCTTGTTGGGATGCCACAAAGCAGAGTCAACACGAGACCCCGGAGAACCCTGGAGTTGGAGTCAAGAGGGACGCGTCCATCTTCAATGCTTCTCTGACTCCCGCTACCCCATCCCGCCAACCCGACTTCGTTCTGGTGGCAATCGTGGATTAAACCGAATAGAACACTGCGATAGGATCGCCATCTAGAAGGTCTTGGCATTCATTCCCGCGCCCCAATCACGCATCTCTCCGCAAGGTGCCAATACATGTTCATCATCGGCTAGACATCCGAGCATATTAGCGACTGCTTCTACCCCTTGCTCGGAAGGGGGGGTGAGAACAGGGGGGACGACGACAATGAGGGGCAAGACCTACCCCTCGGAATGTTTTTTCCGTCTGGAAAAAGTGTCGAATGAGCTTATTCGATGGGGATGGGCATTTCCATTGGCCCTTCGATTGGCCTTGTCCCATTCTGCCGGGGCGCTGCACATGAGCCGACAGCATCGGCTTGGCCCGTCCAGTCTGTGAGGGGATCAGCCATATCATCCGGTCCTAGCCCGGCTGTGATATTAGCAATGCAACCAAGTTGGGTAGGGGAAAACACCTGATTTAGCAATGCGGCGTACTATGTTGCGGGGAGTGTACCGATTTGCTTGTATATGGACCTATAGTGACACGACACGGTTTAAGGAGGGAGTAGTACTTGACCCGGACCTCTCGTACCGTCCATGACGCCGTTGCGTAATCTTTGGGGGTTATGTTCGGCAGTTGTTATGTGAGAAACTTCCAACCACCGCCAAAACGATGCGCGTTCGAGATGGGTGTGTGAGAGCGGTCATTTGGGACGGTGGGACAAAAGGGATGAAAGACTGGCCAGTCTGTTATTCGCTAAGCTACCAAAACAAAGAAAGTGCAAACGTCTGTCAAAGAAATCCGAAACAATGCTTATATCCGGCCCTACCAAGACACCACTGGCTTTTGCAGATGCAGTGTTGATACAACCCGCACGCAATACAAAACATGATACAACAGCTTGACGGCACGGGCAGCGAGCTCAAGCGATCCTCGAAAAGACCGCGAGCACACTACCGCCCATGCCCACCGTACATCGTCCTCTCCCGGACCTGTTACGAGCCATCGCTGCCCAGCATTATCCAGGCGTCGTCGACGTCGACCTCAACAGAGACCGCAGCTGTTGTATCCCTCCGGTTGCTGGAAACAATAGAAACCAAATCCAAAAACGCCCAATCTTCATTGTCGTCGTCACTACTGTCCTCCTCCGTCTTCCATGCCGAGTATCGTTTGTACTTCTCAAAACGCGCAGCGAGCTGCGAGAAGTCCTCGTGAGTGGCCTCAGGGGTAGCCGTGTGGCATTCCTGCTCCTCCTCTGCTCCGGCTTCCATTTTTTGTTGACGGAGCTCCAAGAGCTCTCCCTTGACCCGCGCAATTCGTTGGTCGACGGTCTCCTGAACCACCACAGCCGAGACGGCAGGTGGCTCATCCTTCGCAGGGGCTTCGAAATAGGCAAGCTCTGCAATCCTTCTCTTGATGCGTTGCACCCGCTCTTCGATAGTCTCCGTGTCTTCGCTGACAGAACTTGGTGCCGTCTCAACCGTCTGCAAGGCCGTGCCGACAACGTTCCGTACCAGCGGAATGTCATGGTCGCCCCTGTCCTGCACCTTCAATTCCGCCACACCCTCTACCTCGTCTT